GGCATCCGCTTCCCGCCGGCGCCGCCGCCCGTCGCCGGCATCTCCGTCGGCGAGGCCGGCGAGGCCGCGCTCCTCGCGCTCGCGGCGTCGGGCAACGCGACGCGCCCGGCGTACGCGTCGCTCGAGCTCGCGAAACCGCCGGGCTTCGCGCACAAGTGGCTCGAGCTCTCGGGGGCCGAGCCCTGGCCCGAGGACGAGGCCAACGCGGCCAAGGAGCGCAAGAAGCTCGCGGAGAAGAACGCCGACTCGCCCCACCGCCTCGCCTGGCTCGAACGGTCCTACGCGGCCGCGCGCGCGTGCGCGGCCGACGGCTGCGCGTAGGGTCGCCGCCGGTTACGCTGGGTACTGGCCGCGCGCCCCGATGCGCGCAGCACACGCCCCTACCCCGCGACGCCGAAGCGTAGTCGCGAGCGCCCGACGAACGGCGCGCGCGGCTCTAGGGTTGCTTGCCGCGCTTACTCCAGGGTTGCTTGCTTGTGCGTCTACTAATTATGACCCCGGCGACGCCCCCCCGTCGAGCCGCGCCTCGTCCTTCCCCGTCATTGCGTTGCGCTCGACGACCGCTTTGACGGCCATGGGCGTGAGACTCCACGGCGCCCACCGGTCCGTCACGCGCGGCGACGCGGGGTCGTAGTGCGAATGAGGTTCGAGGAGCGAGTAGCCGAGCGCCGACGTCCGGGCGTCGAGCGCGACGAGGCGCGCCCAGCCCGCCGGGTCGCCGGTCCTCGCGCCGCCGGCGTCGAGGAAGTCGCGGAACGCGCGGAGCCGCGCGAGGCCGGACGCGTCGGAGAGGAACTTGATGCCAATCTTGGCGTTGTGGAGGTTGAGCCGCCGGGACCGCCGGCACGCGGAGGGCTCGCAGGCCGCGGCGACGCGGCCGTCGCCCGGCGCCAGGTCCGGCATCGCGAAGCGGACGATGCGCTCGCACGGGCACGTGAGCGACAGCCGCTCGTAGCGGACGACGCCGACGCGGGCCGGCGCCTCGTCCCAGGCCTCGAGGTCCCCGGCGAGGACCTCGTGGATGCGCGCCCAGTCCTCGACGAAAGCGAGCTGCTCCGCGAGCGCGCCGCCGCCCGCGGCCTCGCACTCGCTGGCGTTGCCCCGCCGCGGCGCGCGCGTCCGATTCGCGACGACTCGCCCCGGCGGCGCGCGACTCCGCGGCGCGCCGCCGACCAGGCGCCGCCAAGTTGGTGGTCGGGCGACCCTCGTCGTCGTCGGACGGCGCTCGCGGCGGCGCTGCTCTTTGTGCGCCTTCACCTCGCAGGCCTTGACCGCGGTCTTGTGCGCCTCCGCCGCCTCGGCGCCCTTGTGGGTCAGCGGCGACTTGACCGTGACGAGGAAGCGCACGCGCCTCGCGGGCCGGAAGACCGCGTCGAGCCAGCGAATTTTCATGATGTTTGCGGGAGACTTCTCCACGAGGTAGGCGCGGGACATGTCCCAGTAGCGCGACCACATGCGCCAGAGGGTCACGAGCGCCGCGTCCGCGTCGACCGCGTCGGCTTCCGTGAGGTGGTTCGACAGGTTGCCCGGCTTGTAGACGTCGGCGACGACGGGCGACACGAAGCGCTGGCCCTCGAGCCTCAGCAGCCACTGGCCCTCGATGTTCGTTGTCCCGCAGCGCGTCGTCTCCGTGCACCTATCCATGCCCTCCGCGAGGCCCGCCTGCGCGACGAGCGTCCGCAGGAGCGACGTGCCGCTGTTCGGGGAGCCCGCGACGAAGATCATCGAGTGCCGCGCGACCTCCTCCTTGACGGCCGTCGCGTTCGCCCGCCACCAGCGATCGACGTCGACGGCCGGCGGCGGCGCGACGGTCCCGCGGGCCTTCGCGGCGACGGCGAGCGCGAGGAGCAAGTACTTGTTCATCTTCGCGTGAGCTGCGTAACTGGTATGGCGCGAATGCCTGTGGAGGGGCATGAGGGTAATGGTCTCGGTCGCGGAGCGCGAGGAGCGGGGCGCGGCTCGGGCGAGCGTCGGGGGCGCCGCGCGGGGCTCGGCGGCGCGACGAAGGCAGTTCCTCGTCGGCGACGCCGTCACGATGAATCGCGAGGCCGGGCCTCGCACGCCCCCCGAGAGCCGAGGCCGTGCGCGCGGGGGCGCGCCGGCCTCGCCAAGGGCGGGCGACGAGGGGCGCCGGCGCGGCACGGCTCTCTCGCCCGAAGTCAGTCGATCTTTTTCCCCCGTGCGCGCGGGGGCGCGCCGGCCTCGCCAAGGGCGGGCGACGAGGGGCGCCGGCGCGGCACGGCTCTCTCGCCCGAAGTCAGTCGATCTTTTTCCCGCCTCGGGGGCGACGCCGACAGGAGTTTTTTCAAGGCCGGCGGCGCGGGTGATTGCGATCTATTCGGATAGCCGAGGATGCGCGAGCTCCCCGGTTTTACCACGACCCCCCCTTGATAAGTGGGATTTAACTAAGTGGGATTTAACACAGTCGCTCCAGCATACGGAGGCCTCGCCGGGGTGGGTTCGTGGTCTCAATTGAGGCTCGATGGCATGACTGCGACACCTCCGAAGCCCGAGACCAGACGTCCCCCCCCCAGCAGCCTTCTCCGGCTACCGAGCGGACCCGGGCGCCTCCGAACCCCGTCGGCGGCGCCGCCCCGCCGGCGCCTCCGGACCTCGCGCGCGTGATGGGTTACTCACATGGCCCTGTCGCCCTCGACCCACCAGGCCGCGACGCGCGCGTCGTCCTCCTGGGCGTCCCAGAGCGCGAGGGAGCCGCCGGAGCCGCCGGCCGCGATCGTCGCGCCGCCCGGGCCCGCGTCGAAGGCGAGCGCGTAGATCTGGCCGACGGCGAGCGCCTTGGACGCGACGGGCGTCGGCGCGCCCGCCGCCGCGTCCCAGAGCGCGACCGTGCCGTCGACGGAGCCCGTGGCCAGGAGGCCCCGGTAGCTCCGACTGAACGATACCGCGGGCACGCCCTTGCCGCCGTGCGGCGAGAAGGTCCAGAGCGGCGCGGCGGCGGACCGGATGTCGAAGGCGACGAGGGCGCCGTCCTCGCCCGCGGCCAGCGCCGTCGTCGGCGTCGACGGGTCCCAGCACGCGGCCTCGACCTTGGCGCCGACGGCGAACGAGGCCCCGACGGCCTCGGCGCGCGCGTCGCGGACCGCGAGCGTGCCGTCGTCGCTGCCCGTCAGCAGCACCGCGAGCTCCGCGCCGTGCCAGGCGACGGCGGCGACCTTGTCGGCGTGGTGGCTCAGCGTCATCGCGCAGACGCCCGCGTTGAGATCCCAGAGCTTCACCGTCGCGTCCGCGGACCCGGAGGCGAGCACCGTCGGCGAGTGGCGCGCCCAGCTCAGGGACATGACGGCGTCGGCGTGGCTCCCGTCCGCGAGCTCGGGCTTCGACGCCTCCTGCTGCCGCTGCTGCTGCTTCTTCTTCTTCTTCTTCTTCTCGGCCCGCGGCTTCGCGCCGAGCGACATCACGGGCTCCATCGGGTCCATGACGTCGAGGTCCCAGATCTCGATGACGGGCTCGAAGGTGCCCACGGCCGCGAAGGAGTCGGCGTTGCCGCCCGTGCCCATCGTGCACCACTCGACGGCCAGCGGGAACGCCGGCAAGGTGACGTCGTGGTGCACGTACAGCGTGCCGGCCTCCGCGTCGTAGACGTGCACCTCGAGGCAGGAGAAGTCCTCCTCCGTGCGGCCGGAGAGGAACACGGCGTCGCTGTCCTTGATCTCGTCGTCCTCGGCCTCGCTGTCGCTGTCGCCGCCCTCCATGAGCTCGACCTCGCCGACGTCGACGAGGCCCGGCGGCGTCTCGCCGTCCATGGCGTCGGCGGCGTTGCCGATCTCGGGGCGGATGGGCGTCGCGGCGCAGGCGCCGCGCGGCACCGACGAGAGGGAGCTGATCATCGTGGGGGTACGCGCGCTTGTGTGATGGACGTCCTAGCTGCGCATAATCGCCCGCGGCTAACCAGCTTCACCGCCAGCCTCCAGCAGCCGGTGATGCCGCGTAGCTCGACGTCGTTGCCGCGCGCGCGGGCCCGGGCAGCCTCGGCTCGGCCAGAATCAGGCGGCCATGGACGCGCTCGACGCCATGCTCGAGTCCGGCGGCCCGTCCCCGGCCGCGTCGCTGTCGAAGGAGAAGATGAAGGAGATCGCGTCGAAGAGCTCGTGGCAGCCGCCCGGGGCCAAGGCCGACAAGAAGGCGGCGAAGCCGTCGGCCGGCTGGACCAAGGCGGAGCTCAACGCCCTGAAGCGCGCCGTCAAGGACGTCGACGGCGCGCTCGACAAGAACGAGCGGTGGAAGCGGGTCGCGGAGCGCGTCGACGGCCGCGGCAAGAAGGAGTGCTACGACAAGTACAAGGAGCTCAAAGCCGCGAAGGCGGCGCAGAAGCGGACGGCGGCGCTGCCCGAGGACAGCACGTTCGAGGACCGCCTCGCGGCGCTCGGCATCGAGGAGCGGCCCGCGCCGCGCGACGCGCCGCCCCGCGGCTCCACCTGGACGCCCGGCGGCGCCGCGGACCCGCCCGCCGCGGACGCGCCCGCCGCCGCGGACGCGCCCGCGGCCGCGGAGCCGCGGCGCGCGGCGCCCAAGCCCAAGTCGACGTGGACGCCCGGCGACGCGGGCGGCGGCGGCGCGGCGGGGCTCGACCCGCTCGTGCCCGTCGGGCGGCGGCGCTTCTACGAGGACGAGGTCGTCGTCGACGACGGCGGCGACGACGCGCCCAAGCCCAAGCCCAAGCCCAAGCCCAAGAAGAAGGCCGGCGGCGCCTGGGGCGACGCGCCGCCGCCGCGGGCCGACGAGCCCCGCACCGACGCGCCGCCCGCGCCGGGCGGCGGCTTCCGCTCGCGGCCGCCGGCGCAGTCCGGGCAGACGCGGTGCACGAACGCCGACGACCTCGTCATGGAGGACTTCGGCGAGGACTTCTAGGGCCCGCGGGAACGCCCGCGCGCCCGCCCGCCGCCGCGCGCGCGGTCGTACCACCTAGTAACATATCCCGCCGGTGGGATATGTTAAACGCCGCTTCAACCTGGGGATTCAACTTAAACATTGTACTTCAACATGGACCTCAACGCCGCTGGATATTGGGCAATCCATTGGAATGGCTAGGCCTGCCCGGACTCGACCTGTGACGGGCGCAATGGGGCCAGCCGGTGCGACGCTGCTGCTGCTCCTTTTCTGCTGCCCGAATTCCCTGGCTCAATCCTGCGCCAGCGTCTCCTTCTCCGAGCGCGTCATCACGAACTCGGCGGACGGCGCCGTCTCCGTCTTCGCGCTCGACGTCGACGGCGACGGCGCCGTCAACGTCCTGTCGGCGTCCTACAACGCCGACACGGTCGCGTGGTACGAGAACGACGCGTCGCAGTCCTTCACGGAGCGCGTCATCACCGACTCGTTTGACGGCGCTTACTCCGTCTTCGCGATCGACGTCGACGGCGACGGCGACGTCGACGCGCTGTCCGCGTCCTACAGCCACGACACGGTCGCGTGGTACGAGAACGACGGCTCCCAGTCCTTCACCGAGCGCGTCATCACGACGCTCGCGGACGGCGCCTTCTCCGTCTTCGCCATCGACGTCGACGGCGACGGCGACGTCGACGCGCTGTCGGCGTCCTACATCGACGACACGGTCGCGTGGTACGAGAACGACGGCTCCCAGTCCTTCACCGAGCGCGTCATCACGAACGCGGAGGACGGCGCCCATTCCGTCTTCGCGATCGACGTCGCGCGCCGTGTCCGCGCGCGACGTCCGCGCGCTGCTGCGCGAGGCCCGCGCGATGGCGCCGGCCGTCGCGGACGGCGTGCTCGCGCGCGACGAGGAGCTCCAGCGCATCATCAGCGGCGCGACGGACGCGGCGGCCGTGAAGAACCTCAAGCTGCTGCGCACGCAGCACCGGAGCGCGTGGTGCTGGGTGCCCGCGCGGCGCCTCTTCGTCGCGAACGTCACCGCGATCCTCGAGGAGCGGCTCCACCTCGCGGCGCACCTCGACGGCGAGCTCAGCGCCATCTCGGGCGCCACGCCGGAGGAGACCGTGGTGCTGCGCGAGGCCAAGCTCTTCGAGTACGAGCGCATCGCCCGCCTCGGCGCGACGGGCCGCGCGATCTACTTCCGCGCGCTCGACTTCCGCGCGGAGGACGACGAGGCGCCGGAGACGCCGACGAGGGGCGCCTACGTCACCGGCCGGGCCGCCTACGCGGCGCTCGTCGCCGGCCTCGCCTACTACGTCGTCGCGCACGGCTCGGAGCTCGGCAACGGCCGCACGAGGCTCTGGGTCCGCGACCTCGTCTCCGCGTTCGTCATCTACTACGGCATCATCGCCGTCGTCGAGGTCTACTTCTTCGCGTTCCTGCTCCCGTCGCTCCTGGAGGAGCACTTCACGAAGTTCGAGGACCCGACGCGCGTGCGGCGGTTCCCCTTCGCGACGCGGCTGCCGACGTCGGCGACGTTCTTCGTCGCCGCGTGGCACGAGGAGCTCCACGGCACGCGCGTCGGCCGCTACTGCCTCGGCGACGCCGTCGACGACGGGGTCTTCGACGGGTCGAGCCGCGCGATGGCGCGCATCTACGCGGACGAGGCGTGGCGGCCGTCGCCCGCGGTCCGCGTCTCGATCGCGCTCCTGGGCGGCCTCACGGTCCTGCCCTTCTCGCTCCAGTAGGTCGCCTTCGAGGAGGCGTTCACGGTGGCGCCCGTCGTGAGCGCCCTCCTCTTCGGCCCGCTCCTCTCCCCGGGCGGGCGGCGCGGCCGCCGCAACGTCGACTTCGCGACGGCCGTGAACCTCGTGGGCACGATCCTCGCGCTGGTCCTCGCGTACGGCCTCTACCGCGCCGCCGCGGCGGCCATCGACGCGTGCGCGGCGAAGCGGCGCGTCGACGAGGCCGACGACTACGACGCCCACTCGTGGACCGACGCGGGGCGCCGCGCGGTCCTCGCGCGGAAGCTGCGGCGCGCCGCGCGGATCGCGGGCGGCCTCGGCGGCGCCCTGCGCCGCGCGCGGCCGGCCGCGGAGGACGCCCGGCCAACGGCCGCGAGCGACGCGCGCGCGCGCGCCGGCGCGCCCGGCGCGCTCGGGAGGAGCGGCGTCGGCCGCGCGAGGAAGCCGCCCCGCGTCGAACTCGCGACGAAGCGCGCCGTCCACGACTACGACGTCGGCGAGCCCGACGCGGACGTCGCCGTCGCCGTCAACCCGCTCGCCCTCGGCCGCCGCGCCCCCCAGACGGCGGCGATCTAGGAGGCCCCCGGGCGGCGCCTCGGAGGTCCCCCGCGAAGCGCGAGCGGCGGCGGCGAGGTCCCAGGTTTGAGGTCCAGCTTGAAGCGGCGTAACCCGGCCCCTCAAGAGGAGACCCCCCGGAGCCCGGTGCGGCTTTAGTGCCCCCCCCAGTGCCCGCGTCCGCCCAAGGCAGGCGCGTAGGCGGGGTGCGTCGCCTAATGCGCTAGAGAGAGAGAATCGCCGTCGTCGCCGTCGTCCTCAGCCATTTTCACCGAGATCCGAGGCGGTTGCCCAAGCTCAAACCTCGAGAGCGACGCGTTCAACCACCATGCGCCGGTCGCGGTCCATGCCGCCCGTGCGGAACCGGGACGCGCGGGCGTCCGGGGGCAAGGTCCACGAGGACCTGCTGCGCCGGCGGGGCTACGAGAGCCACGGCGGGCGCACGCTGAGCAAGGGGGCCTTCGGCTCGCTGCGCGCCTGCGTGCGCCTCGCCGACGGCGAGGTCGTCGCCGTGAAGACCATCGTCCAGCCGACGCGGCGCTTCGCCCTGGAGCGGCGCGTGCTCGAGGTCGCGGCGTCGACGGGCGCGCTCTTCGTGCTCAAGCTCCTCGACGCGTGGGAGGCGCCCGGCGTCGCGTGCCTCGTGTCCGAGCTCTGCGACGGCGACGTCCACGACCTGCTCTGCGCCCGGCGCGCGGCGAGCGGCAGCGGCCTCGGCAAGCTCGAGGGGTCGCGGCGCTTCGCGGGCCTCGCGCCGCCGCTCGCGTTCGACGTCTCGAGCCAGGTCGCCGTCGCGCTCGACTGGCTCCACGCGCGGCAGGTCGCGCACCGCGACCTCAAGCCGGAGAACGTGCTCTGCGCGTCGGCGTCGCGGCGCTTCGTGCTCGCGGACTTTGGCGTCGTCGCGTCCAAGTGCACCGCGACGACGGGCGCGCGGACGCTCTGCGGCACGCAGGGCAGGAAAAGGGTGATTCAACGTCG